GTGCGGGTGCTTACGTCGCAGCGAGTAAAACCGAGAAACCCACGGGGTTATTAGGCGGGCGAATTGGCCCCTAAAAAAAGAGTGGCATTTATTATTTCGGATTGCCGGGTCTCCCACGTGACGCCCATTATCCATGTGCTGCTAGGGCTTCTCCCCTTTGCTCTGTCATTAGCTGCAGTGCATGTTGGAGAATGTCAACTACGTGCCCCCCCTCTCACGGCATCATTCGTTAGCTCCTGTCTTACACTCATAGCCATTGCTACTACGTTGTTCGAGGACTCCTCGCCTTCTTCCTCGGTCGCTTGCAACTCCGCCACGAGCCCTGATGAGGGGTGATTATAGCATTTTTTTAAGGTGGAAGGCAAAAAAAGGGCCATAACTCATACAGAGGGGCCAGCCTTATTGTTACCCAATGATATGTTTTGAATCAGGGAGTGACAGAAAAGGGGGCCAATCAGCTTCCAGCTGGGGCCGGTACCCTTGTGATTTCATCCCTATGTACGCTTCTGGGCCTGACAGAGAAAAGGCAGGCGGAGGGGAGACTAGTGCTGTTTGTTAGATGGTGACACTGCGGCTCCCCGTGCGTGGGGGGGCATGCCGGATAGGCGTACGCTGGGGGGGCATGCCGGATAGGCGTACGCTGGGGGGGCATGCCGGATAGGCGTACGCTCGGGGTGCATGCCTGTTCTCCTGCACGTTGGAAAATGCATTTAATTTGTACCGAATGCATTTAATTGCTCTGAGAGGCAGAATTGCCTTTTTCGTAATATGGAAACCATATGCGGTCCAAGCTGTTTAAAGGAAAAACCTTAAAACATAATAACATTTCAGACGCTTTTATTCAAAGTGACATACAATTCAGAAAGGGGGGTCAGACAGTTCCTGGAGCAATTGGGGGTTAAGGGCCTTGGCCAGGAGCCCGAGAGTGAAACCACTCTGCTGACCTGGGGATTTGAAGGGGTGACCTCTGGATCACAGGCAGAGTGTGGCAGCCCCCAGAGAGCCCCCAAAGTGGAGCTCTCTCTCCATTGTTTAGGGTTACGAAATGTTTCCCTTTGGAAAAGGCATCTTATGAGTGACACCAAGTCATTCCACAGAATCGTTTAGCTGATCATTGGAATCAGGAAGACAGCGAATCAGACTAAGAGAATCCGTACTTGGGGAGGGGGGGCACCAAAGACACTGGGAGAAATGTGCCGTTGACATTGCCTACCCATAATCCTTTGGACTGCTCCAGGACCCCCCCAGCCCAGAGTAAGGACGCATGATGAAGCCCCTGATTAGCTACGCATGCCACGTCATGTGACAGAAAAAGTTGCAGCGAGGAGAGAGAGCAAAGCGAGATTTATGGTGCAGCAGTGGAATTACTGCGGAGACCTGCCAGATTGAAAGCGCGCTGGTGCGTACTGTGCCGATTTAGCTGTCAGTCAGAGATCCCGGCCGCTGACGGACCACGGGCAGCTTTGGAGGCGGGGCATAGGTCCGGTCGCAGCCACCGGTACCATCTTACTGGCTGCTTCAACAGCCCCCGACATCACCCAGAGAGACAGGCCGCAAAAGGGCCTAAAAAAGGCTCACGTCCTGAAAGACATATAGAGACTAACTGTGGACTGTCCGGGGGGGTTAGGGTTAGGGTTAGGGTTACTGTGGACTGTCTTGGGGGGTTAGGGTTAGGGTTACTGGTTTGACTGGCTTGAGAAACATCACACTAATAGATATGTACACCCATGTTCTGGCACTGCTTCTCCACTAGGGAATGCCCCCCACCCCCCCCTCCGCGGATGCAAGTGAGGCTGACCTCTGACCCCCCCAGTATCCTTACCAAATCTTGGGGTTGAGCTGGCGGCTCGAGCCCACCCGTGTCAGAAGTAAGATTTTGTGAGTAATCCCAACAAATCTGACAGCAAATTCTCCCGCTAAGCAGTGTGGATCAGCCCCCTAATACAGTTTGAGGGGGAAAAGTCCTTATTTAATATGACCACAGGCTAGCCCATCAGCGGGGGGGGGCGGCATAGTGCTGATCTCTGGGGGTTAAAGTGTGTCTGGTCCATCTGCTGTGGCTCCTGAACCATTGGAGCTGATTTGGTTCAGATAAGCCACTGTAACACGCATCATGAATTGCCTGTCTCTTCATAAGAGAACGCCATAATTCATAGAGTAGGGCCAGCCTTAACCAATGACTTGTTTCTAAATCAGTGAGTGACAGGTGTAGGAGCACTCTGCAGCCAATCAGCTTTCATAAGGGGTCAGTATAAACTCCCTCCCCCCCCACAGCATGAAAATGTAGCTAGAGACCAACCTCACACTGGATGCGGAAGGCAAGTGAAAAGGAGGCGGTCAAACGTGGCTACAAACACGGAATCGGCCCTGATGCGCTGAACGGATAATGGGCTGTCATGTTCCTAATTATCTGGCGAGTGGAGGCTGCCTCCGTGACGGTGAAGAGGGGAGAACAAAAATCTCCCGTCGAAGGGGAAAGATGGGGGGGGGGGGGGGGGGTTGCAGAGGGCAAGCAGATCACCGAGGAGCTGAGGAAGACGAGCATGCGAGGGAGGAGGAAGATAGGAGGATGATTCTTCAAGGAAGGTACCCGGGCAAACAAGTGGGCAGCCTCGCTGTTTCGTTTTGCAGGGAGGGTGGGAGATGGCGGGTGTCTCATTTCCGCTTCCCGCGCCATGACAGAGCGTGATGGTGATGCTGTTTGCGGCGAGAAGGCCTCAGTTTCACCTGGTCAGACTTGCAGTAGCGAGGGCACTCCACCAGGGGGTGCCCTCCACCCCTGTGCTCATCGCATTTTAACTCCACGAACACATGTGATCATTTCTACATTGTAGCATGTGCAGCAGCCGAATCCACGCAGTGTCACGGAGCAGCGCCCTCTACTGGGGGACACCCTGATGAGAATGAGGGCGTGGAGTGGAGGGGCTGATCGGTTGTGACAGCAGACTCACGTGTTGTGCAGGACACACCAGCCGCAGTGGGGGTCGCCGGAGCTCAGGCACTCGGTGCAGGTGCCGTACTGCTGACATGCTTCAATGGGGACCCTGCTCACCTGCGGCACGGAGAAAAACAAAACAAAATGACGTGTCATCTGCCACGTGCACGACCAGGAGAACAGGTACAATGTCATGCTTCCTTTCACATATCCCATCATGCTCTCCTTTAAGACACAAACATATATGGGTGAGAGTGAAGCTTGTGGTCCAAGCACAGGGTCAGAGCATTTACCCTGCACCCCTGGAGCATTCTGGGGGATAGCTCAAAGGTCCAAGGGCAAGATGACCATTCCACTGAGGAGGGGATTCGAACTGACGACCTTCCACACAGGCTTAACCCGAGTCACATATTACCCCCCCACTGAAGGTTCAGCACTGGTGGTGGTGTTTACACAGTGAACGCGCATGCAGGCCAGGAACTCGTCTATAGTAATCCCATTAATGAGTAACTTAAAAAAGTACTTTTTACAAGGTGTTAGTATCGCTCCCATAATGGTTCGCTGCTGGACGTTTCAGAGACACTTTCTCCAGAGTGAGGGAACAGGCAGGCCAGCACGCAGCATGTCCTTAGTGAACATGTGCTGCAGAAGCTGCCTGAGACCGACAAAGCTTGAGTCACGTGACATAAACGGCGTCTGCTTCGCCACAGCCAGACAAACAACGGCTACTTGTCCTATTAAGCATGATATTTTTAACGCTCTGTGGGCTCAACAGGGTTTCCAGAGGCCTGAGGATGGACTCGTAAAGACCGCAGCCCCCTGATAGGTCCTTATTCATGAGACTGGCCTGTCACGGATTTCTCCCATGATTCCCTGCAAGGGGAGGGCATGGGTCCTCAGCGGATCGATGCAGAGGAGGGTGCACGTCGCCATGGGAGACGCGGAGCCCGTTCCTCAGCCCCTGGCATTTTCCGAGGGCGCAGGGAGGCGTGAGGTTCTGAGATCCGAGACCCCGACGTGCCTGTGGCGGTCCCAAATGCTCCGGGACAATTAACCTCTCTCGCCCCCTACAGGGAGGGGAGGGCGGTGTGGGTCAGATGGCAGGTGCTGAAAACGGCGTGGAGAGATGAGGGTGGGGTTAGCATCTGCGCCACGGGCCCTGACGGCCCACTCCCGTTGCATGCGGCCCCTGTCTATCAAGACACCTCTTCTGCCCCCTCCTCCCCGCAGAGCACCATCCTTTTTCTCCATAAAACCACAGTAGCATTGAGCCCATGGAGCCACCCCCGATGCAAGACGCGGATCAGAACACGCCAGGGGGGGTGGGGCCCGTTTCTCACTTCGGGGCCCCAGTTTCCACACAAGCTGCAGCGTGTTAAATGTCATTACCGCTTTCAGCCGGGTTCCCCGTGCCGTCCACCTGTCCCGGGCCCTGGGGGTGCGGCGGCATGAAACAAAGGAGCGCATTGACGTGGCCGGGCCCTAAAAGGGGGCCCTGTGTGACTCTGCATGTGCGGGGGGGTGTGAGGGCCACACATTAGCCCCGACGCGCCTCTGATGGTCCCAACTGCTCCAGAAGCGATTAACCCCTTTCACCCGCCACTCAGATGGGGGTGCGGAGCCGGTCCAACGGCAGGTGCGGGAAATGGCCGGGGGGGGGTGGCGATGGGGGGGTAGCATCTGTGTGTGAAGGCCCGTAGGTACCCCAGCTGAGCACCACGGCAACCAGCGGCACAAGCGTCGGTACGCGACACTGAGTTCACTCCCACTAGCTGCCAGGGTGGGGGGGGGTGACTGAGAGGCAGCTGAGAGGCGGAGCACTGGGGGCCATGGGGGAGCCAGGCAGCTGTTCCAGGCACCAACAGTCACTCAGAGGAACAGACAGGCACCTGTGAGGACAGCACAAAGGGGCCATTTCCACGGGGGCCTTTGTGACGGACGTGGAGATTTGCGGGCACAGTTGTCACATGGAAGTTGTGGTGGTGGTGGGGGGGGGGGGGGGAGGGGGGGGGGGGGGGGGGGGGCAAAAAAGGAAAAGGGAGGTGGAGCGAAACATGAGAAGACATGAATGGAGGAGGAGAGCAGGGGGATCAGAGGTCAGAGTTCAGGTAGAACATGTGACTCCTGTCAGCTGTGCTGAGTGGTTACAGTAGGCGAGGGGCAGCTGATGCCCCCCAGGGGGCTCTCTGTGCCCTGCAGTTGCCGGGGGCAGTTACGCTGTACCCCCCTGACCAGGGGGGACCTGGGTCAGTACTGCGGGGGGAGCTTATGGGACAGAGGGACAGAGGGGTCACCGGGCGGGGAGGTGGGACACAGGAGTGTCTCTCACGCACCGTCACGGCCATCGCACGGCCATCGCACGGCCATCGCACGGCCATCGCACGGCATCCAATACAGACACACAACAACAAACACAGAGTGCTGCAGCGTGCCATAAAAACTCAAAGGGAAACAGTCCTGGGGGGTCGAGTGGGTAATTAAAGTGTGGTGTGCAACAGGACTGTATGTTTGTATTGCTGATGAGACAGCGGGGTGTGGGGGGGGGGAGCAGAGTAAACAAAAGGAAGCATGCCCAAGCGAAGCAGAGGCCTGTGTCTTTATGTGGTGCGGTGATGAATGGAGGGGGGGTTCCCCAGGATTGGTGTGCTGAATGGGGGGGGGCGAAGGGGTGGGTTCCCCAGGATTGGTG